TGCAGTCTGGAAACCCAGCATCCTCTTGTGTGTCCCTAACAAAGTACCTGATAAAATGACACTTCTCTGTTTATGGTCAGTCCTGGCATTTACCATGTGGAAGACCAGTACTGCTTCGCAGATAAGTCGTGCACAGTTGACTTTCTTAAATAAGTGAGTCTTCTGAATTTCCTGGTGAAAACCAGAAATAAAAATCTGGAAAATCACCAGCAAACACAAATTAATATGGAGGAAAAGAGTACATAGATTCTTGAAACATAAGATGATAAATCTGCGTATGTTGTTTACACCATAATTTCGATTTATCCTGGCTCAAACTACAAGGTCACAAAAGAAGTTTGGGGCTTATTATTCCCAGGTGGTTTGTATTATTTTGCTGTGGTATTTGATTACCTTACCATTTTTTTATTACCATCTGCACTGCAAGGCTAGTTTTGCTGAGGTTATTTTTTTAAGCAGCATCCCATGACACCCTTAATTCTGTGTTTCCTGTGCTTTTGCTTCATTTGCAATTTTAAGAGATTTTCTATAAGAAATAGATTTATTCTGTATTGTATCAGTAAACTAGCTTGTTTTTACTATGTAACTTTAACCCCTTAATTCTGGAGAGGAAAGTTGCTTTTCAAAAAAATAAATGAGAAAAGATTTAACCTTTCAGCATCCTTTACGGTGCAATATAAAAAGACTTTGTCAAAGATTTCCATTTTTTAACTCATTTTTTTTAGCACACCCTCAGTTTGTCTGGGAGTTCTAGTTTGAAACTTCTGATTTTTACCCAGGTATTTTAATTATGTTCAGGTGATTTCTTTGTGCATCCAAAATCGTTGATTGCAGTACCATTTGAAAGAGTTTTTCTTCATGAACTGCTTTTGCTGAATTGTTAGGAGAACAAAATGAATCCCGAAACTTACAGATGAATGCAATGAGATGGCTGATACTATTTTTAATGAAAAAATTCAGGAGTAGTACTTAAAAAAAAAAAAAAATACAAAGCTCTTTATTGCGTTTTACATCTTTAAAGCTTTATGCCCACCTCAATTATTTGAAGTATGCAGCTAAATCTCAAACTCCTTATGCCATACTTCAGCCCTCAAGATATAGATTATCTGTGTAGTCTTCAAAACCAAGAAACGTGTTCCACTGTGCTGTGCCAGCCAAGCCTTGGTGGCACAATGAGTATACGATTGCAGCTTGTATTGGGTCTACACATGTGTCGGCGCAGTGAATAACCGGGTCATATATAAAAAGATAAGGTGACCTGCTCAAGTCTTTGTAGTCTTCTGAGAACAAAAGTTTTCTGTGGTTTTTTCTGACCGTTTATTTAACCTCAGAGGTGGAGCTGTGGGGTTGTGAGGCAGGGTGGCAGGCTGCGTTTGGGAGGGGGAACCCGAAAAGAAGAGGAACCTTCGTTCTGGGGATGTTTGCTGCCTCCCGGGTGGCAGCAGGCCAGGGACCCCCACCTCTCCGTCAGGATGCATTTAGTGTTAAACGTGATCAGAAATCCATAGAAATGACTCGGCTTATAAGCATGAGAACCATATCAAGAAGCACAATCTCAAACGAGGCAGTTAGCGACCTTCTCTCTAGTACCTTCAAGTGTTGCCAATACTTAGAAATACCAACCAAATGCCCTTGTCAGCTCTGACTGGTAGTCTTATCTGTGGCAGTTTCCCACATCTGGCTCATAACTGCAAAGTGGCAGGTTCCTTGTGTATATAAATGACCCAAGGTATGTACGTGATTTCCAAGAGCCCGGACAGGAAGGCAGTATGGAGACACCTAGAGAAGAAGTCAGACTGGAACATAAGTGCCTGGATTCTTGCGGCCGATTGCATAAAGAAATTCCAGGAAAAGAACAGTAGGTTATAGCTTAACGCTTTCCAAATCTGTTTAAAAAATGCAGATGAGCACCTATATATCAAACTGATTCTACAGCTGAAATATCTGAAAGCAATATATCAAAAATTCTTGACTTTCTTACAAAAGTAATTTGGCAGCATGCCGTTATTATCATGTAAATCTCTTCCTCCTTACTGCACAGTAACAGTATATCTTTGGCCATCATTTTTTCCTCCTGAGGTTGTTGCCATTATCTGTAATTTCCATAAAGTTATCATGTTAACAATGCTTATCTCACTCTTAGCTTATATTACTAGTCAGTGCACGCTTTCAGAAAACAAAATTTCTCTCATAAATGTTTTATGCATCCCTTTTCCATGTTTTTTTGAATAAATACAGCTAAGGCATGTTTTAGCAGAGGCGGAACTATCATATTTAGATTTGCTAATCCACTCTATCTTTGCCAGTTTTTTTCTTGGTGTTATGCAGAGTGCTCATACTTGGCAAGAGGTTTCACTGCCTGGAGTTTTTGCTACGAGAATTATGGAATTTATATATTCCATGTATTATTCAAAATATAGTATATTTCTCACATAATTTATTGAATTCTCATCTTATTAAATGGAAAATGTGTAGTTACATCAGAGGTCGCCTGATCAAATATTTCATTAAGTATGGTAGAAAAAAGTTATTTAGAAAATTACGTGAATTTAGGGGGGAGATTATTCTTCTGCGTAATCAGCAAGTGGAATATATCAAAAGCTAATGTCCGAGTGTCCATCTCTGCCTGTCCAGAGTATTCAATCATTTCCTGTTATGCTGCCTATATAGGAGAAGCATCTGCTTTTACTTGCTTGTTTTGGTGGGTGCCTTCCATTTTTCTTGTCATATGCCAAAACTGGTTATGATAAAATTCATTTTCCTCGGTTAAGAATTTGATTTTTTTCAAATTACCTTTTCATCTGACTGGAGGTTGCTAAATGCTTTGGTCATAGAGATTGGATGCAGACCTGTGAGGGACGGAGGAGGGTGAACTTACTGCAGGAAGCCAGCGGGAGACCATCTGGATCTTGGTTTCCTATGCGTTACGAGTATGCCAAAATTAATGCAATTTGGGAGAAAGAGGTTGATTTATCCAGATTATATTCCCTCTAGATTATATTCTTATATTCCTCCCCCCACATACACTGAAGCATTGCCCTTGGTTGAGGGTTGTGCATAAAGTGCTATCTTGATGCTATTTTTATGTTAATGTCTCAGGAAATATGAATGTTGGTTAAAAACTGTGGTGCTTATAAACATATGCTTGAGGTTTCAATGCATATTGGGTTACTTATCCGGCTTGGTTTGGAAAAGCATTTTATAATTAACTTAAAATAATTAAACAGGATATTATGAGCACAGGACAGCTTTCAAACGTTCTTTTTTTCCCCTTGAGGTTACAGAATATTTTTTTCTTGCATTAACGTCTTGGAGTATGTTGGGCAGAGTTTTTGAGTACATTTAAAACAAAAGTTCAGCAAAGGCAGTGCAAGAAGACTTTGCTTCTTGCGTTAATAGTACAGAACTTGCTTAAGGCTGGTGGCTTTGACACATTCTTTTAAATGAGAAAGTTTTGGAAAATGTCACTGAGTGTAACAAGACATGATTCTGTAATTATCTTTCTGACTAATATAAAGTGTTTCAAAATGATGTTTTGAAAATTAATGGCACTAGGTGCAGGATGAGTATGGAGTATTATTACAGGGAAATCATTTATGCAATTTTATGATGCCACCTGAACTTTTAACAATTAACAACGGCATAGGATACCTCGGAGAAAAGTAATAACGTTTTCCACGCTCACTTGAAGAAGGCTTCATCCAGATAAATAAGATACCTGCCCCTCGGCTTGGGGACACCTCGCTGCGGGGCAATAGTCAACGCCTCGCAGCACCAGCTCTCTCCTGAAGGCCAAAAGGCAATTCCTATGTGACACGCAGCTTAAGGGTCCTCGCGGTGCGCGACGACGGCTGCTTTTCCAAAACATTGCAGCCGCCAAGCGAGTAGGTGACGCCCCTCTCTCGAAATCCTCTCTGCCCTTGCTTTTCCAACCTTTTCTGATGTAACTGCGTTAAAGAAGCTGTTGGAAACTGTCAGAACTTCCAGGCGGTTAAATCGGAAATAGAGTCGAATAACACAAATACGGAGTCTTGCTTTCTTGTCTACAAAAGTATGCCTTTAGCCTTTGTACTTCAGTAATTTTTTGAATAGATACCGTGATGTACATGGTTAGAGGAACTTCATCGTTGCCCTTATAGCCTTGTAGATACTGCGTTGATGCACACAATATTTGCCTATTTTTTTTGTTGTTTTCTTAAACTTCTTGCCATAATTACAGTAAGTGATTTCTTTGATTGTATGTTGAGATGGCAGAAATGCTGAGCCAGTGGGTGTTTTTGGTTTTGTTGTTGTTATTGTTTTGTTTTTTCTTTTTTCTTTTTTCTTTTTTTTTTTTTTTGCAGCTTGCTGCTATTCTTTTCCTGGCTCCCGAGGGCAATAAGAACTATGCACTTTACTAATTTTCTTGCTTACTTAGCTGCAATTGCAACCTTAGTAATTATTATTTAATTAACTCCAGAGTATTGCATGAATAATGCAAAATAAATGCGCAAGTTTTTTAAAAAGCTCAAAACGAGGTATTTTTGTAAATGTCAATTCCATAATGCCTTATTAAAAACATCTAGAAATAATGTTTAATAGGATAGTTATCTTAAGTAGTCTGCATAATGCTAGAAGAATCAGAGGTATGTAGTAAAGGAGAACTTGGCATTTAGTTAGGAATCCAGTTCTGTTTTCATAATTTATAATGAGAATTTCCTAGAGTCTTGGATAGGACCCCTTTCTAGTATTGGTATTTTAGTTCTGCTTCACCTTTTCTAGGTGTTTCTTTCCAATTAGCTGCTGTTGACTAACTTTTCACTTTGTTGTTGTCGTCCAACACACGGACTCTAATTGTAGCAGGAAAAACGTTTGTCTATACTTGACTGTCTGTGTATAAATCGGTAGGTCTACACTGCGCATACAAAAATGAGCAGTAAATGCTTTGTGGCCAGACATTTGTGTGAATGCAACATGAAGATTGATTTTTAATAAATCAACTTTCTGGGTTTATTTTGTAGTGGATGGCTGTATACACAGAGCTGCCGGGCCCTGCTTAGTTGCTGAATGTCGCAACCTGAGTGGCTGTGAGACTGGACAAGCAAAAATTACTTGCGGATACGACTTACCTGCAAAATGTAAGTGGAATCTTTCTCATCATTTTCTGTGTGTGTGTTTTTTTTTTTTTTTTTTTTTTTAAACACATGGAGCTGGTATGCATGTTTTATTTCCCTGTAGTCTAATTCAGCAAGGTATTTGTTTTACAAAATTAGCAGCAAGACTGAATTAAGCATGTTCTGTAATGTAATGTCCTCTTCTCAAAGCAATTCAGGCTTTTCTGCACTATTTCACCTATGTTATCCAATGAAATGTCTTTCAAATATAAAGCATCTTTCATGTTTATTTTTTTGCAAGCTAAAACGTATCCTTTCATATACATCATAAAGGATTTGAAATGCTTTATGAAGTATGAACAAAATATACATTATCATATTTAAGTTCCATGGAGACAGTTTTCGGCAGTGTTGCATATTTCATGTTCTTCATGCAGATTGTTGATTGTGAATACTTTGAGAGCTAAGGAGATCAAAGTGATGTATTGTGTTTTCAGCTGCTATGTAGAGGCTGATTGGCAATTACTGTGAAGGCATCTGTCACACTTGAGCTTTCAGCGGCAAGCCGTTCCGTCCGAGCTGGAATGTTTTTGCACTCTGCAAGCGGAATTGCCAAAATTCCCATCCTTTTGAAAAAAGGAAGAAGGCTATTTGACCTTGTTGCACAGAGGTGGAGCTAGTCTTGGAAAAAAAAGTAACGTACTGACAGCATGCTGGCCAGACAGTCTATTATATAAACATAAAAAGTAGGAAACCTCCTCAAGTTTGGATCTTACAGAATGGTATATTAAGACGTGATGATACAAATATCATGAAAGCATTACAAAGAGCTTATCAGTGGAATTCAAGCTCTTTTTTCATATGCGGTCTGTACTAGGAATGTGGTTCAGTCAAATATGTTCAGATCTGCTGTCTTAGGTTGCTCCAGACTGTATCTGTGTAAAATCAAATACATAGCGCAGTAACAGGAATCGTTTTACGTTCCTGTGGCCTTTTAGTGCCTTAGGTAAAAAAGAAAATTCTGATTCCTTCTTTGATGATGATGAGAGCTACCAATTATTTCCTTGGCAGTGATAATTGCTATATATGGGGAAACTTCGTTATGCTTTATACTTAGATTTACCATATGTTGCTGATTAATTGTGAAAGGTTAATTTGACTTTGGGGAAAAGTTGAGCAAGGTCCGTGGAGGTAGTTATGTGGTGTTTGTATACGGTCAAAATCTTGACAAGATTCCTGTAAAACAGGTAGGATTGCTAAATAGATAACATACTGTAATTTACTGAGAATTATTCACTTGTCCTGAATTGTGGTGTTTAATTCTTCCCCTTTAAAAAAAAAAAAAAATGGAGGTATAAAAAAAGGTGCTGATCCATGGATGCATAATTTCTCCCTTGAATTTTAAAGAGAGAGATGAATTATGAAGAGCCAAAGCAACGGCCGCTGAACCGTGTTTTAAAGGGAAAGGGTCATGTCTGAGGCATGGCCTCCCTTTAAATTTTATAGCGGTTTAATGAGTCTCCCTTCAGTTAGGTTTTGCAGAGCAGGATCCCGTTTACAACCTATAGTAGAGTGTTTTTGTTTTTTATTTTGTTCTCTATGCAGGAATAATAAGCAAAGCAATACAAAACCCCCTCATCACTTGCAGTTTGTAATAAAACCTGTATCCACATGTAGAGAAAAGACAGTATCTTTCTTAATGCATATTCTTAGAAATTGAAATTCAGTCAGAGATATATCTGTTTGTATTTGGTCTTACATCAACCTGAGGTGCGGACAGGATACATTAAGTGAGAAATAGGGAAAAAAGAAGGTAATGTGCAATTTGGAAGCCAAGGAATTAGATACTCCTATTTTCTTAGATTTTTTTAATTTATGTTTTTGTTTTGCATTATTTTAAGTGTTTTATGAAACACACTTGTGTTGACAAGCTGTTTTTTTCTTTTATTTTTCCCATTTGAAGCTCTTAGTTGTAGGCTCATAAATCATTATAAATCGTAGACCGTTCATTTGAGAGTGATCAAACAATCAAGACTCTGTTGTCATGTTTCAAAAGGATTTGGAGCCACTTGATATCTTTTTGTCACTCTGTGTCAGTTTGTCATAATAGTATGACAGATTTAACTGTAGAAACAATTTGGCATCCAATTTTTGCGATGAGGACAAGAATGTACCAGGAGGTCCGAACTTTACCATGCAACTGTGAGTTAGGATGCAACTTTGTGTCAGCAACTTGTTTTGAGGTTATAAGTATACAATAACTGCCGGCTTCTGTACTACCAGTTTGTTTTTTCACTTAACTATTTGTATGTATTGGACCAGCTGCACTGAACCATTAGGAGCTGGGGTAGCGTAATGATTGTTTTGTTGTCTCGACTCTTCTTGTGATTGTAGTTGGGTGAGTAATATTAAATGAGAAATGTGTTTTCTAGCGTACTTTTTTTTTTTTTTTATTTAAAAGAATGAATGTTTCAATCATCCATCCCTGGGATTTCAGTCTCTGGTCTTGATGCTGAAAAGCTTTACTTGGAAACAGTTTGCTGAGATCAGCAAAGCTGCTTCAGGACATGGCAGTCAGCATATGTGCTATATGATGCAGAACTTGGGCTTGGACTGAAAACTCCACGTTAAAGAAGATTAATATTCATAAGTCATGCAGCATATGACTTTTTTTAATAGACAACTTGATGGGAGCTGGAATAAGTTTGATATTTGAAGGAAAGTATGCTTTGTTAGGAAACTGGTCATTGGTAAACAAAATCCTTTGGCAATCTGCTTTATTATCTATTCCAAATTTATTGTATACTTTGCTGTGTTTACTTATCTTAAATAAGAATGCCTGATACGTAAATTCTTCATAAATGAAAACCTGAAAAATAATGTCTGACTGAAAAAAAAAAAAAAAGCCAAGAATTACGGTCAAGGCTAGCCTTCTGTGTTTTGTTCTTGGGCTGGGAGTTGTACCACAGTCAGAGGTCAGTGTGTGAAAAACGCAGGTAACAGGAAATGACATGCATCAGTGAGAGAATATATAAAATAGTTGATTTTTTTTTTTCTCGTCTTCCTAGCCTAACAGACTAAGGTAAACATGCCTGTGGCCTAGAGATGTTGCTTTATAAATTTTTTTGAGATATATTTTTGAAAGCCACAGAAGAGTCTATATGAAAATAGAGGTGAAATCAAATGGAGTTTTCTAATTACCAGATTATGTAACATTCAGTAGACTTTTACAGAAGTCAGTGTAGTCACCATCTGTCTTTTGTGCTGCAAAAGCCTACACAAAGCCCCCCCCCCCCCACCACCCCTGAGTTATTTGCTGAATACATAATTTGATTAGTATCATTTTTTGTTGTTTTTTAGCAAACACCTATACAGGCACTTGAGTTTTCATACTGCTTTGGAGAGTTGAAGAGAGGGTGCTTTTTGCATTGAGATATTTTTCTTCAGTGCTCATCCAGACCGATCGTCAACTATTTAGCTTCTGTACTTCACGTTGTCATTCCCTTTTAAAGAAAAGTTCATTCTAAATACTGTACGACTGGTCTTCAGACAGTGAGCAGTGCTCTGATACCGTCATGCTTTAAATAACAGATGAACAGGACCTGTTTAAAGCTGTTCAAATGCTTGTTTGCTTTCTCATTTGATTAATAGTCTCCGTTGGCTCTACTGGCAGAAAATGGTCTGAATGTGAATTGTGTTTATAACTGGAACTGAGGGTCCATAACAGCCTCATGGCTTGTAATCTGCTTGTAGAGGTCTACAATAAAAAAGAGGCTATCAGAACGCATTAGGAAAAAAAAAAAAAACACAACAGTCCAATTCTACAAGGTATTTAATGGACTTAAAAGCAATTGAAGATATGGCGACAACTTCCAAAGCAGGTAATTGGTACGCTCACCCTGGCGGAAAAGGGCCCCCAAAGTAACTTTTTCCTACTGTTAATATTTGTAGTAACTATTTCTTTTCTTTCTTTGAAAAATGTTTGATAATAAACCCCCCAAACCGAGGAAAATAAAATCTTATGGCCTCTAATATGAGACAGAGCCAACTATTGGTAAATAAAATCTGAAAGTAGAAGTACCTGGCTGGAAATGTTAGGCAGTTTTTAATACATAGCTTTATTAGCAACATAAAACAATAATATTTAGAATAAATTTTTCTCTTTGCTTGATATTTTTAGTACTTTAAGCAATGTCCTTTAGGAAATGCCATATATAGCGTAATCTTTTGGTCCAAAGCTACTGTGTAGATCAATCTGGAGTAATA